ACTTTATTGATCGAGAATGTACAGCTCGATTTAGCCAAAGGCTAATCTCCCTCAGGGTCCTCAAGGTTAAAACAATTTGTAAGATACATAACCCCTTAAATAGAAAGATATGTCCACCATACTGCAAATAGGAATTGTCTAACCCTTCAACTCTCTCATTGAGATATGTTTACCATACCAGGAAAAGATGACATGACACCCCTTAAGCATTAGAAAGATGATATGAATGTAGCTGCTGACTGAAAATATGGTGTCTGTTTACACTGAGTATTAATTTTCTTGTCGAACCATCCACACAATTTCAATTCCAAATTCTGATTGATTTTGCCGGAGACTGGAACAAAGAAGCCCTTTAACTATTCCAACGAGAAGCCAGCACAAGGTTGGAGACAGCCTGAATAAAACAAACTTTTACATCCTCAAATTAAAGCATGTATTAGGTGTGCAGGACTGAATGCCTGATAATTACATTCCAGACCATCTAAAAGTGTATAGTCTCTCTCTCACAATATATTAAAGGTGTACAGTAGGCAAAGTGGAAGCTTCCCATCCTTAAATACAGACACAGCTGATTGGAAGACTTTTAACACAATTAAACCTGCCAACATTTAGGTAATAAATTCCCATTAGATTGATTGTTTGTAGGTATACTTACCCTCTAATTACAAAGTCTCAGTTTTAAATATTAGTTTTAGTTAGCGTTTGGATATTATTGTGATGAGCTCAGGTGGAAGATTAATTCTCCAAGTGGACTTGACAAGTTAATTTGTGCTTGTTTCTTCTAACTGTATAATATAAGTATATTGTACTTCAAAATTTATAGTCTTTTAGACCAATCATTGTGACTAGTCTCCAACAGGATTCCCAACCATTCAGACTGTATCTCTAATATCCAATTGTCTTAATCTAAATTGACCATTGGTTTAAGACAATAAAGGTGGCTTGAACTTGAGAATCTGCAACTATCAAAATGACACAAGACTTTGTTTTGAAAAAGAAGTTTAAAGATTCATAGTTTTTTTGACATTGGACCCCACCAATCTGTTCTCTGAAGGTCAGACAAACCATTTATATAAAAGTATCCTTCACCAAAGTATGCTTCAGACCAAATTGGGACAAAACTCCATCATTTCTATTGCAAGAAGAAGATTTCAAAAAAAATTAGCTTTAATGTAAAATTGAAGAAGTACTATTTCAGTGACATTTGATTTCATAAATAAATAAGCTCAATAAATCTACTTATTTTTACTTAACTGTTTGTGGGCATATAAATTTGTCGTATAGATGTACCCACAAAATCAACAAAAAATGAACCGTCTACAAAAATAAATGATTTTAAAATATTTCCCCTATTGGATGCAAGGATGACCTAATTGGGAAAGAATACTACAGAAGAAAGAATCCAAAGAATTTTCTCCGTTTGGGCCTTGTCCCTTCCACCCCAAGGGGACCACAGACCTACTGTTTCAATAAAATCAAGTTTTCGTCCTTTAGGATGCTTCAGACTAAAGTTGAAAAAAATCAGCTCAGCCGTTTAGGATATCCTGAAATGCCCTTTGGGACATATTGTGATAATGTATGCCCTAGAATTATATGAAGATATGACAACACATCTCTTGTGTAATCACCAGAGTGAGAACCTTCAACAGCTAGAATAGGTTTCCTATCCGTGACCATGCACAATCAAAGTACCTAAAAATCACCATCAACCAATCGATCCAGCTCTGAGATCAGTGACAAAATTTCCTCATATCAACTAAATTCTACCCTAACCACTTTTTGTGACAAGACACACTTATTGAACTATCATCTGTGTTCTGTACATATTAAACAAGTAATTGTGTACTAAAGGTGAGACGGAACTATGATGACCAGACTAGGACACTAATCAGAGACCCCTAAACTCTGCATACAAAGTAATAATTTGTGCTATTTATCATATTACAGCATGACTGCCACTTACTAAATCAGTTTGGACAAACTACAACATTTGATATAGATAAACCATGACTAAGGTGCTGATATGCAGGAAATAAATGTTTTCAGCATCTTTATAGCACCGTTATCACCTTTCCTTATTTACAGTATATGTAAAGGTTTTCTGAAGTGTTTGGGAGAATGTACTTAACAAAATTTAAACTGATGCACTTCAAGCTAGCCAGAACATTACTTAGAAGATCTTTAAGCTAGTCGTCAGTCACTACACAAATTTGTATTGATCTGAAATACAATAATCTTGGAAACCTTTAATGGCCAAATCATTTAAATCTATTAGGGAACTGTAAAGGTCTGCATTAAACCACCTACCTAGATATAAGATTGTGTAAAAGATTCACCACTCATCACAACACTAGCAGAAAGAATATCCCGAGCATGAAACAGAACAAGCAATATTGGCAAGTCTGAAAAATATTACAATTAACATATACATATTTTTTATGTATTTGAACAAAATTTTGGGAAAGAATGTACATCAGTGAATCATTAGGTTTATTTATCTTTTAGTCTTTGACAAAAATAAAACTTTTATTGATTACTGAACTACTTTTAATAGCATTAGGTTTGATTTTAAATACCTAAGCTTATCAGCTAGACAAGAAAACAAAAAGTAAAAACACTACAATCCCATTTTTTAATAAAACTATACTCAGAGGAAAGCGAATTCCTGATCCAATTTTGAGGAATGACTGTACTGAATAAAGAATTTTTATTCTATTACCCAGTTCTCCTTTCAAAAAAGGTTTCAACTTTCAGAAATATCTAGAACTAAAATCCAAAATCTGTATGGAGACAAAATCTATATTATTTTCAAACTATGAAAAAAAATACTTTCCATTAGCCCAATTACATGAAAACGTACCTAAATTAGTTTTTCAAGGCAATTTTTCATGGAAATCAAGTCATTTATATTAGCAACAGTATACTACATTATATTTCCCATCACCCAACTGTAAAATCTAGCCCTAATAATGTTCTCTGGAATCTGCTGGTCTAGAGGGAACAAAACTTCTATTTCTATTACAGAGCAATGAACAGAACCAGGGAACAAATCAAGCTGGATAGATTCAACTGCTCTTCAATCAATACTACAATTACCAAGTAACAGCCACTCATTACAGCTAACTAACAATGTGCCAGCAAATTACAGCATCATCCCTGTAACAGCCCTCTTTCTGAAATAGGTTACCTTATAGCTATACAACCAGCAAGCCAAGTCTGTCACTCCCAACACAGTATGTATGTCGATTCACATTCAATTTGAGCAGAACATTTTATGACTAAATAATGAAAAGAACCAAAGTAATCAGAAAGAGATCTGTCACTATAGTCTAAATCATCACATTCTCCTCACATACATACTGTATTTGACATTTTATCAATGTTATCAAAATCTTCAACCAAATCTCCTCCACTGCTTTCAGTTTTTCTGCTTTCAGTTTTTCTTTGACACAAAAATGTATATAATGCCATGCCGATTTCATTTCACGTGCTAATGTTAATGGCCGAGAGAATGTCGCATTGTGTATAATTACCATTCAAGAATTCACTTAATTGTTTATAACAACAGTTATTCTCCATAATCATTATTTCTATTTCGGTATATCATTCATATATGTGTCTACATCATTATTTCTACTTCATTCATATAGGTATAATACATGTGAAAATTATAATGTTTCAGTTTTTTCTTTATTTAATGTATATTACATATTTTAATGCTGATATAGAATATTTATACAGAAACTTCAATCACAGGGGCAAGGAAGCAGCTTACTGCTTTTTTACAATGGTTTACAATCATTCAAACCCTGAAGCAAAAAGACAGAAACAGACAATGTGTTACTATATATGTTATTTTCATGGTATCTTTTTTCACCATTTTATTCAATCTTTCAAAATAGCAGAAACAATTGAACTCCTTCATAAGAGCAACCTTAAACAATTACCAGGAATAAGCACTGTTTGTAGATAGAACTGGGAAAGAACTACAGACCAGAACTAGTAATATCAAACCCAGATTCTATCATACTCCAATCTGTCACTGTTTGTAGATAGAACTGGGAAATAACTACAGACCAGAACTAGTAATATCAAACCCAGATTCTATCATACTCCAATCTGTCACTGTTTGTAGATAGAACTGGGAAATAACTACAGACCAGAACTAGTAATATCAAACCCAGATTCTATCACACTCCAATCTGTCACTGTTAGTAGATAGAACTGAGAAATAAGGGTAAATCTTTGCTTTGAGATATCTAGTATGTGGACAATCACCACATTACTAACCTGAAATCATAAGAGTTAATTGTATACAAAACTGATAGAATTGTAACAACAGTTCACAGTTGACTTGTCAGCTTTGGAATTGCACACAACAAGATGGACACGGTATATGTAATACTACTGGGGTACATGCTCCCATTCTCCATCCCTATTTTAGCATGAAAAGGTTTAGCTAAGCTAACAGGTAGTAACGGTATATTAGAAACTATATAAAATGATATATATTCACAGATGTACATAAGTTTTAGAATATCACAAATTACATTTTTTCATAGCATTTTGTAGCATACTGGGTCTGCAAACTATAAATGGAATGGTGATTATCTAAGACTGTAGGAATTACCCCCCCTTGCAAATTCATATTGGGAGGAGGTTGGGGGGTCTTCCTTACTGAGGGGCTTGGGGAAACTCCTAACTTTCCTAATTCACTGTCCACAGGTGCATTTATTAACTCAAGTTAAACACCCGACTATTTCTTTTTTATTTGACACATTCTGTGCCTATAATGCAGATACTTCACATTTTGAACCTCTGTTCAATATTCTGTATCTTTTTGTGAAAATTCTACATGTTGTGTTGTCTTGTTAAAGGGGCAGATCACCTTGAAGTTTGACAAAAGAAATTTGTCTGCACAGTCAGTATTACTCCTTTTTCATGTATTATTTACATATAAATATATATTCAATACATCTAATTAGAAAAACTTTACTTACCCATTGCAGGATCTTGATAAAACCTCGTGGCTCCTTCAGCGCATCAGCATTGAATGATCCCATAACCTGCAATCAATTTTCAACTCTGTTGAATCACACAGCTTCGATTTCAGTCAAACTAGCAGTAAGCAAAATTCTCTTACAAGGAAGTAAAACAATGACCAAAAACAACAACAAAGTCCTCTTATAAAATGCCACTCAGTTTTCATGTTTCATAAAACTTCCTTAATTGATATTTGCTATGGATTAGTGTTGAATTTCCAGTATATATACATTTTTAATGTGCACTTATTTGAAGTGGATGTAAGTAGTTACAGAGAAGCTCTTTAAAAGGTTTTGGCCATGATTTTACATACATTGTAAGGCTATATTTCAGCCAAACATGATACAATAATGTATGTAGTCTATGTGATCCTGTGTCTCTCAGCACACAAACGACTTAACCTGGTGAATATGCATATCTTGAATGCGATATTCATTTGCCTACAATAATACACTACTAAACAGGTCATGCATATATTAAGTTCCTAAAACGTTCAAAATTGCTTTAAAGTGGAACTTACAATCATATATGGAGTTTACATAATGATGCATTATAGAAAAAAAGTGTTGCTTTTTCTTCTTTTTGATTTAGTTTATTTTGAAAGGGATATAATAAGTGGACAACGGCTATAAGCAGTTACATGAACAACCAGCTTTATCTAAAATAACTACAATTAATTGTTCATTTAACTAGATTTTCTTTTGCTGTGAGAGTATTTGATAGTAAATGTCATGAAATACATGGATTTTTACATAATGTAAATTATTGTATAGCTACATTCCACATGCAGACATACACTTATTTATTATATCACATTTCAGTCTCGCCTCTGGCCAGTCAAAGTATGTAAGTGACAAAGACATTTATACTGCAAAAAGCACAGGAATCTCAATGCTGAAAATCTCTCCAGTCATTTAGTTTATATGCTTTTATTTCTGAACTTTCATTGGAATTTGTATTGTTTTTATCAATTAGTCCTGGATATCCACATAGCTATCTTGTTAATGTTATAACTTGGCATACATACACATGTCCGAAACTGAGTACATGTCAAGACTACTTGCATAAATACCTGTCACAAAACTAGCATTTACCTCCAAAACTGGTAAGCCGAAATCATACAAAAATCTTGAACACCTGTATAATCGTATTCCATGTTATATATATATCAAAAAGTTATTTCATAACAGGAATAGTTGTTCTTTTTACCATGTTCATGTCACTTCGGAGAAGTATGTAATATCACTGATTCACAATCATTCGATGAAGATTTCCCATTGATCCGGTTTTATCTAAACAGTTTTATTTCTTAAAGTTTTTGTATGACCATATATAGAGTTTAGATATAGTTGAATCTAACACATCCAATCAAGGGCATCATGAAAAAAACAAAGTCGTATGAACAGGGTCTGCTTTCTACACTGCTGTTTAACACTGTCAATCAAAGTAATCTACCACAAGCTATCTTTTTATAGAAATATGGTTAACTGATTAGTTGTCTTATTTAGAAATATTTTCTTCGTGTTGTAATGTTAATAGAAGTTCTTGTAATACAACATGCTGAAGATTTATATGTGATGTTTTGATAATTACACTGTCACCTTCATCAGGCAAATGACCAGTGTCCAGCATACCTAGTACAGTGTACTAGCATTGACGTCTGTCATGTACTAGATGGTAAGGAATCAACCAACTTTTTCAGCTAAATTCCTTTTTTAATCAACAGGGCATTTTGTAACTCTTTAGTGGACAGATGTGATGTTTTGTCTGCATCATATTGGAAAAGGAAAAATAAATATTTAGAAATGCAAACTTGCATGTCTTATATTGGCAAAAAGATGATTTTTAAAATTAACACATTTGATGGCAGCAAGTTGTAGACTGACAGATGAAAAATAACTTTAAATGGTTGGTGTAATGAAAAGGCAAAAAGTATGACTCATTTGAAGAAAAAAAAAAGATCAAACAATAAAAACTGTAATCTAACCCTTTAGAAAAGACACACAAAAAAAATAGATATCCACCATCTTTATACCATGGATTCATTTTGATTATTATTTTTTTTTTTTTTTTTGCATCAAAATGTCATTACCATTCAATTTAATGATTTTAAGTAATATATGTGTACTTTTGGGCCACCATTTGCTAATCCAAGTGTCCCTGTGATTAAGCAATGGCATGAGAAACATTAGTGCAATCACATTTCTGATACACATAGTCATTTCAGGTGGGCAAATTTTAGGTTGTATCAAGAATTTTTTTTAAACAATGAGCATTCATTAATTATTCAGGATTTTTTCACTATAAATTTTATAATATGAACACATTACAATTCATTTATGAACTTGTCTGGTTGCAATTCATAGATATAACATAACTACCAAGATACGGTCCTTAAGGGGTCCGTAACTAAAGCACCAAGGATAATTATTTAAGCACTCTGACCTTATGTAGTTCGCTTAACATTACGTTAGAAATTCTTCAACTGTAATCTAATTGCAGAACTCGATTTCTAGAGTAGACAGTTGCTTCAAAACAGCGGTCAGTGAAGTCATGATATTTCGATGAGTTTCCAATGCAAATAATAGGCACTAGGATCTTTTATTGAACAGAAAGTAAATAAAGCGGACACAGTTGATTGACAGGGTCACGCCTACTTTTGCACCGGCCTACAAATTAATGACAGCGAACAAGAAAGGGATATCTTATATCACAACAAACGTATCATGGAAGACATGGCACTAAATGAACATACAATTTTGTCTTTTATATTGCACATTTCAATGTCTCGTGACCAATAACAAATATATAAATGACTCATGAAACATGCTATGTCAAAACACAAACAATTGAAGTTACAACATTAAAAGACATGTAATGCAGGCTTTAGAGATCCATGAGCAAACGTGATGTGAATATGGGAGTATTTTTCAAAATAAAAATATCGGGTAATGATACGTAGGACAAGGAAATGATATTTTTAGGCAAAGCTACCTTCCCGACGACGTCCATGATGATTTCTCGGTATGCAGGTCCGCAGCGGAAATGAAACCTCGAATTTCATTGGTCAATTTATTTTGAAGTATTCTAGTATTAAAAACGACAAAAAGCTTAATATCCGGATATAATCGCATGCTCGCAAGAAAGAAAGAAAGAAAGAAAGAAAAATGTAGTATGAAATCATATGTCACTGAAAGGCGTTCCGAATTATACCTTCCTTCATGAAATGTCACAGCTTCCACTCGTCAAAGAGTATAACGTCACAAGACTTAAAATAGCACTGATTTAACCGTTAAGTTTCTGGTAACTATGTAGTATTTTAATAACGCCTTTTTAAAAGTTGAATCGTGTCCTTACTATAAGTCTGTGGGCAAAATAACCAACGACTTCATGCATCATTTTTTTTTAAAGATATATATATTTGAAGGAAAAGTCCGACTGCAAAATCGAGTTATTTAACTTTTTTTACATATTATACGAGTGGCATCAGACAGCCGCACTGCTCCTGAATGGGACCGGGTACTGACTGGGACCGCTGACTTGGGCCGTTGCTGACGGAGACCGGCGCTGACTGGGACCGTTGCTGACTAGGACCGTAACGCTAGATAACTCGTGCGGACTTGCACATTAATACTAATCATACATGTGTGTAACTGATACAAACACGTGTAAGTGTAACGTTACCAACCTTATGACATTTCAACATATTGATACAAAGAGTGGCTCTTTATTATTTCACCATCTGAATTTTTAATCTTTTATTTATTCTAGACACATGTAATTATATATACTGATCAGTGAATGATCTACATATAATCTGGATATGAGATAGAAATCGGGTGTTTTCCTTTGTCGAATATCCTAATAAACACAACCTCGACAAAGGCGGTCCCAGTTACTCCCAGTCAAGATCAGGAAATCTAACGTCTTATATTTTCCGGCAAATTTATTATACTTAAACAGAAAAAAATACACTCATCTTTGACCAAATGATATTAATATGAGATAGAAATCGGATGCTTTCCTTTGTCGTATATCTTACGTCTTATATTTTCTGAAAAATTCATATAAAGCTCATACCTGTTCTATAAAAAATAGGTTTCACATAATCCACTACCTTATATAGTAATCCATACATTTTACAAGATAAATATTTCCCACCAGTAGCTAACTTATACCAAAACATAATAGTTCTAATTTTAATTTCATTTTCAACTGGAAATCTCCCAAGTTCACCAAATACCATAAAAGTTGGCGTATTTCTTCTTACTTTGATAGTTCGATTTAAGAAAATTTAGTTGTATTTTCTCAATGATATTTAGATTTTCAAATCCCGATACTTCCACAAAATACAGGAATATTGGGGTAAGTAAGGTATCAAAGAGCTTTACCTGTGAGTCAACTGGGAGATATATACATGTACATTGTATTTTTGATTTTCAGATAAAGACCAAAAAGTGGTTTTTGAGCCTGTTCGGTGATTTTTTACTAAGCAAAGTTACCATTAAAGTTCATAATTATTCCAAGGAAAGAGTAGGGATCACTTATTTCCAACACAGTGTTGTTAAAAAGTAAACCTTGGCAGGGTTTTTTTTTTTTTTTTTCGTTTCCTTTTACAAAATATTACAACTTTTCTTTTTGAAAGTTAACCTCAAGTTTCCATGATTTACAATACTCTTCAAAAATATTTAAAGCAGACTATAGACCATTGCTGGACTCTGACATGATTACTGTATAGTTTGCATAAAGTAAAATGAATGTAAGTCTCGCACACATTTCATCAAGGCACTTTACTTCGTTTTGGTCAAAGAAATCCTCTAAAGCTTTAAGAATATTTCAAACAGTTTCCCCTTGTTTTACTCCGACATAACACAAAAAATGTAAGACGTTTCTTGGTCACCAAATTTTGCCTTTGAATGTATATTTATATAACATTTAATATTTTTGCTGAAATATTACTTTTAAGCAATTTTCTCCATAATCCACACATCCACACTGTATCGAAAGCTTTTCGGAAATCGACGAATGTACAGTATGATGTTTTACCTATAGCAAAGTTTGTAGATATTAAATAATAGAGTATAAATATATTCTCTGTCGTAGAGAAACCTTTCCTGAAGCCTGCTTCAGCATCGGATATAATTTGTATTTCATCAGGTATGTCGTTTGTTAAGATAGAGGTAAAAACATTTCTATGACAAGACATAAGAGTTATCGCCCTTTAATTATCAGGTTATTTAGCGTTAACTTTGATTTTATAGATAGGAATAATTACGCCCAATTTCCATCGCATAACCTTCTTATTTTTTTCCTAAATAACAGACATTCTCTAATATTTTCACAGCAAGGTAAGAGTATGATACTTGATATTAAAAACAAAAATGTGAAAATGCTAACTTTGAACTGCATAGCTACAAATAAATTAAAAGTGAGCTGTTTGATACTATGCTTAGCATCTATCTTTTATTTCAAACATATAATTTATATAGATATGAACTAGACAATTCTCATTTCTTATACCTTTCTATTTTTTCTGCCCGCGCCTTAACCCATCTGCCCTTGTCGAATGTATGGAAACCGCAAGGCATCACAAACGATACAAATCCCCTCGCTCACATTTACAATGAAGTTTGTTAAAGGATACTTTCCATGTGTTGCATCTAACAGTGTCTAGCTAAATTACGTACCAGCAACTTCACCAGCTGATAATTGATATAGTTGTGTCTACCGTGGTATTATCAACGCACCTGTAAGCTATTTTCTTATCAACATAGTATATGCGGAATGTATTCTGATGTGCCATATGCAGCTATTGAAGACAAACCTTGTCGCGCATGTGCAGCTTTTTCGCTCCAGATGAGCGATTTTTTACGGTAGATAATATAGCGACGTTTCAGAGAAAATATTAATATATCGTTTTTAAAGAAAAAAAAATATATGCCTCTGATCAGTAAATTCAACATTTCTTCGTTACAAATATGTCATATATAAATTTTAGATGAAAATTCATTGTTTATTTGTTTAGTTGAAACTTGCATATGAATCTCCTTCATTGTCCTAACAAATTTGTAACAAAACGATTATTTTGACCTTTTCAATGTGGAATAAGAGCAATATTATGAATAAATCTCCAAATGTATGCATCTGGCTATCAAGCATAGTAACTTTCTAACACATGGAACTGTTGATTCCTCATAAAATGGCAACAATGACCTTGGCGTTGACCCTGGCAAACGGAAACACTAACTAGTGTAAGATATTATGATACTTGACCAACATGTGAAGTTTGATAAAAAAAAAATCTGTTGAGAAATGAAGTAGCTAGACCGATGACAAATATTGCCATGCTGAAACACACACTTGTTCAAAACATTATGATACTTGACCAATATGTAAATTTTATCGAAATCGCTCGAGAAATTAAGGAAGTTGCTAGAGAAATGAAATAAAGTTGCTGGAGTGATGACAAAGATTTTCTATAAATAGTAACAGTGACCTGGTGAAGCTTGATCAAAATCGATTGAGAAATGAAGTTGTTAAAGTGATGTCAAAAGATGAACGTACGTACGTACGGAAAGCTATGTCTCCCTACGTGGTCGCCGAGAGGGGATACTTAACACAGATATGTCTACATCTTTCTGATGATGCGCGGAATATCAGGTTAAGACAACAAGCGTTTCATTACTACAAACTAATTGATGTCATACTAACTTAAAGTGCAAAATACTAATAATTTTCTGTAAAAAATGTTCCAAATGGCGTCCTGTGACCCTACTAAGTTGCTGATGTAATGTATTAAGTATTATAAATCATAACTAGTTGTAGAATGACCCTCTGATAAAATATCGATTAATTAATATCAAAATAATCATATAAACGTAGGATCTCCAAATTTCAATGTAATATTGTCTGATATTATGAGTTATGTCTGTCTGACCTACCGAAAGATCTACACTACATGTCTGTCCACGGACTAAAGGACTTATCTGTACTTTCTGTATAATTTTGTGATTCTGGAGCATGGAGGTTAGCTTGGGTTTAATCAATCATGGGATGAAAAACCGACATTCATTTCCCTCCATACTTTCAGACTTTTTTAACAACCAATTCCTCCTTTTGCCGTCAACCATTTTTATTAGTTTTATGAGATGCCCACACAGAGCTGTTGCCTTTTGTTAACAATGAATTTAACACTCTTTTTTTTTAAATACACACCAATATTTTCCATTCTCATTATATGCTATGTTTGATATTGTGACAACGTTTATATGTCATGTTTTTTTACCACGTTTATATACCATGTTTGCTATTGTGACCACGTTTATATGTCATGTTTTTTTTACCACGTTTATATACCATGTTTGCTATTGTGACCACGTTTATATGTCATGTTTGCTATTGTGACCACGTTTATATGTCATGTTTGCTATTGTGACCCCGTTTATATGCTATGTTAGCTATTGTGACCACGTTTATATGCCTTGTTTACTATTGTGACCACGTTTATATGTAATGTTTACTATTGTGACCACGTTTATACGTCATGTTTGCTATTGTGACCACGTTTATATGTTATGTTTGCTATTGTGACCACGTTTATATGCTTTGTTAGCTATTGTGACCACGTTTATATGTCATGTTTGCTATTGTGACCACGTTGATATGTAATGTTTACTATTGTGACCACGTTTATACGTCATGTTTGCTATTGTGACCACGTTTATATATCATGTTTACTATTGTGACCACGTTTATATGTTATGTTTGCTATTGTGACCACGTTCATAGGCTATGTTTGCTATTGTGACCACGTTTATATGTAATGTTTGCTATTGTGTCCACGTTTATATGCCATGTTTACTATTGTGACCACGTTTATATGTAATGTTTGCTATTGTGTCCACGTTTATATGCCATGTTTACTATTGTGACCACGTTTATATGTTATGTTTGCTATTGTGACCACGTTTATATATTATGTTTGCTATTGTGACCACGTTTATATGCCATGTT